GGATCACTTTGGGAGAGGACTGTTGACACGCTCCTCCCGTTCTGCTCACTGCCTCTGCCTCTGGACGCAGAGGACAATGGTTGGTCTCCGGGCCCCCCTGCCTCGGAGCCACATATGCAGAACCCAAGCCACCGTTTGGTGGAGCGCAGGAAAGCGCCAGGCGCATGGGCCAGGCGGGGGGGCCAGAAGGGCAGGGGTGAGGCGAGCACCAGGGTTCCAGGGGGTCCCCGCCCGCGGAAGCTGGGGCTGGCTGGAGGGAGCGCCGCGCTCCCGCTGCCGAGCTGGGCTGTCTGTGGGCGCCCCGGGCTTGTGGCTTGGCGGGTGTGCCCAGCCCCGCTCCCACGCCGCCGCGGGGTCCTGCACCCCTCTACACATGCACTGAGACCACAGAGCGACTTTAGTAGGGCTGCTTTGTGGCGCTCAGCCTCGGTGAGGCCTGCTCACCACATCTTGCAGGTATCTGTTGAGGTCTGTGCATACTCACCGTTCCAGTGTGATGGCGGGGTGATGGGGAGTGACGAGTGGAGGGGTGACGGAGAGAGAGTGGAGGGGTGACGGAGGGGTGATGGAGAGAGAGTGGAGGGGTGACGGAGGGGTGACGGACAGTGATCCTTTCCAGGATCTCCCATCAGGCAGTTTCCCTCCCATATTTTTTTTTGCAGCTGCCTCTGGAAGTGGATCTGACCAAAGCTAAGAGACAAGACCTGGAGCCGTCGGTGGAGCAGGCGAGGTACAACAGCTGCCGGCTGCAGGCTGGAGCCCCGGGGGCCGCAGCAGCGCCGGCCCCAAGCAGACCAGGCCGCCCCGAGGAAGAGGAGGGGGAGACGCGCGGCCGCTCCAGGTAGGGCCCGTGTGTGCTTCGTTTGTGCCCCTCCTGCGGGCCCCACCCGTGCCTGGCACTCACGTCTCTGGCTCCGCAGCGTGGAGGAGGCCACGCTGCAGCGGAAGCAGCGGCAGAAGCAGCTGCAGCAGCAGTTCCGGGAGCAGATGGAGCGGCGGCCCGCTGCAGCTGTGGGACAGAGTGACGGTGCATGGGGGGCCGGTCTCCCCGCGGCTCTCCTGGCAGACGGGGTGTGGGGGCGGCCCGCCGCAGCTGTGGGACAGAGCGACGGTGCGTGGGGGGCCGGTCTCCCTGCGGCTCTCCTGGCAGACGGGGTGGGGGGGCGGCCCGCTGCAGCTGTGGGACAGAGTGACGGTGCGTGGGGGGCTGGTCTCCCCGCGGCTCTCCTGGCAGACGGGACGGGGGGAGGGGGCGGAACTTGACATTTCAGGGCAAAAGGATGTTTGTGTGTGCACGTAAGACTAGGCCTGAACTCGAGGCCTGGTGCTTTCCCTTGGCTTCACTCAAGGCTGAAGCCCGCTCTTCCCCTTGAGCCACACCCCCACTTTCGGCTCTTTGCTGGTCAACTCAAGATCGCAGTCTTGCAGAGCTCTCTCCTCAGCCGTCTGCGTCCCGGGTCTCTGCCTCCTGAGCAGCTGGGGTGAGGGGCCGCGGCTGCTCGGTCAGTGCGGGGCCCGCAGGGGCGTGAAGGCCTGAGCAGGGACTGTGTGTGTGTGCGGGGAGCGCGGCGGGCGGGGGTGGGGCTGGGCTGGAGCTGCGCGGGGCCCCCCCACCCCGCAGCCCACGTCGGTTCCCTGTCCTCCTCTGCACCACGGGGACATGAGTGACACACAGCCAAGGCCTCAGGGCGCTGTGACGCTCACCACGCAGGGCTGCAGGGGGCGTCGCGTCACCACGCAGGGCTGCAGGGGGCATCGTGGTGGTGGTGGTGGTGGTGGTGGTGGTGGTGGTGTTAGTGATGGTGGTGGTGGTGATGGTGGTAGTCATGGTGCGGGGGGTGGTAATGGTGGCCCTCACAGAACTCCAGAGCCATGTTTGGAGCCACTGGCTCGCGGCTCGCAGCTACCCTGTCAGCTGCTGTTGGAAAGCGTCACCCCAGCTGCACAGGGGACCCCATCCCCAGAGCTGCCAAGGGGCCGGGGCGGAGCACAAGGGGCTGAGTGCGGGCGTAGGCGAGCGTGAGGCTTAGAGTTCAAACCCCAGCATCCCCCAAACCAACAACAGCTGTTTCCTTGTTCCTACTTTGAGAAGAAGGCGGACGGCGGGGCAAGCGCGGGGAAGAGAAGAGCTCACAAGCCCACCGGCTGCGCCATCTAGCCCTCGTCTTTTCTGCTTGTCACCCACAGCGCCCCCCCTGGCTCCCCCTCGGCCCGGCCCCCCCTCGGCCCCCGCCCCCCTCAGGGAGGACGACCCACCAGGTGAGGGAGCCCCGGCCCAGCCTGCACAGCCGCCCTGCCGGGCCCTGGGCCCTGTGCCCCCTGCAGCAAACCTGGAAGACAACCTGGACCTCTGGGACCTCACTCCGGACCTGGAAGACTTCGCGAAGCCCTCGGTGAAACCAGAACCCCCCTGGACCTCTGCCCACGCAGCCCCGGACCACCAGGTGGCGCTGCAAGACCCGCGCCCACACACCTGCCACCAGAAGCCAGAGAAACCCAAGCCCTGGCACCCCCAAACCTGCACCGCGCACTGGCTCCCAACAGGTAGCCCAACACCAGAGGCCAGTGCAGCTGCTCAGGAGACGGGTTGTGAGGCTGGCGGCTGGAGGCCAGCCCTGGCAGACAGCTGTAAGGCTCTTTCTCAACTAACAGAAGCCGGGCGTGGCCACGTGTCCGTGCGGCCCCCAGTCTGAGCGGGAGGTATAACTCGGGAGGAGCGTGGCAGGCAGAGCTACACAGAGGCTGAGATCCGAGGGTGATGGTTCAAAGCCAGCCCAGGCAGGAAAGTCTGAGAACCACCAGAAAACCAGAAGAGGCACTGTGGCTCAGTGGTAGAGCGCCCACCTTGAGCTAAAAAGCTGAGGGACAGCGGCCAGGCCCTGAGTTCAAGCCCCATGACAAAAAGAAAAGAAATAGTAACAGTCCTGTGAACTTCGAGGACATTGAAGTCGGGTGAGATCACACAGCAAAGACATCCACGTAGAGTGAGTTCAGAGCCCCCCCCCCCCCCCCGTGCCGCGGGCCCTCCCAAGGGCGAGGGACGCAGGCCTCCTGGGGTCTGTTCCTCGGGCTCAGGCTGAGTTGGGATTGCTCATCTGGGAGTCACAGCTCTCCCGCTTCCTCTGCAGGGGGTGAGGCTCCCCAGGAGCACCGGGACTGGAAGAAACGGAAACTGGATCCACCCTGAGGCCCAGGCCGGACAGGCGCCGCCCGAGGGGACTGGAAGACACCTTTGCCCAGGAAGCCGCTGGCCATGGCCCGAGACTGACCGCTCCTCACCCAGCCTCGCCCAGGCCCGGGTCAGGGCGCACAGAGAGCCGTCCCCCCCATCTCCCCCCACCCCCACCCCCGCAGCGAGCGAGCCTGCGTCTGTCCCTAAGCTGTTGTGTGAATAAAGACGTCTTGGGAGCGGCGGCTGTCCTTGCGCGCGCAGGCCGGCCCGTCGCGGCCTCGGCGTCTCCCTATCCTGCGCCAGCTCCTCCCCCACCCCGGCCTGCCGGCAACCCCAGCAATGCCAGGCCGCCTCCCGGGTCCACGCGCTCCATCCGTGGAGGCAGGTCAGGGGTCAGGGTTTGTGTGTGCCATCAGCTCGGGGCTCGGGCTCCTCCGTGGTGAGTCTTAAACCACCACCTCAGGTACTTTGGAGCCAACACATGGCCTGACCCACAGGTCAGCACGCCTGGGCGGCTCTGCCACCCAAGTGACCGACAGGACCTCCGCATGGCTGGGCCAGGCGCCACTGTGGGCAGGAGTGTGTGTGGCTTCACCCCCCCCCGCCCCCAAACACCAGGCCCCAGCCCAAGAAAATACAAGCTGCCAGTCACGCACTCACACCTGCAGTCCCTGCTACTCAGAAAGCTGCCATCTGACGCGCAGAGTTTGATGCCAACAGGCAGGAAAAGCTGGAATGTAGGTGTGGCTCAAGTGATAAAGCACTAGCCTAGGGCAAAACTCAAGCCAGCACTGAGGCCCTGAATTCAAGCCCCTGGACTTCCGAGTCTGAGCTGGAGGTTTCTGGCTGCAACTCTGAGAGGGGAGCTTGGGTGGACCAGCACCCACACCTCAATGCTGGCGGCGGCAGCTGCTTCAGTTCAGAGTGGGGAGTAGCCTTAGCATTGGGCTCCCCCGTGTTTCACCCTTCGGTTCAAGTGCCACGGCATGGGCTGGCCCTGGGTCACAGCCCTGCGGCCAGGCCCAGCTGTGCTCCCCCGAGGCCCTCTCCTGGGGAGAAGAGGCAGACGGCGGCTGGAAACGAACAGGAAAGCCCGCAGCTCCACAAAGGCAAGTCGGCTTTATTTGAATGGTTTCATTAAATAAAGTCTACAAAGGTAACAAACCATAGCACGAAGCGCAGCTTACAAGAAGCGCCACACCCGGAGTTAGTGCAAAATGTACGGTAAAGGCGGCTGAGGTTCCCGAGGCGCGGATTCAGTTTGTTTAAAAAAACAGTGTACATTGTTAAATAATGTAAGGAAACACCCGGAATCGAGAAAAGTCCTTTTTAATGTGGAAAAGATACTCAAACTGTCCTAGTAACACAAAAATAATTTAATCAGTTCAGTAGCACTGGCTCGTCCCGAGGAGCCCCACGCGGGGAGAGGCCGCGGTGTGGGAGCCGCGTCCCCGGGGAGCCCCACGCGGGGAGAGGCCGCGGCTCTCGGTCGCTCTCCCCTCGGCCTCCGCTGCTCGCCACCTTCTTGTCGCGGGCCTCACGCTGGCGGGTCCCCGAGAATGACAATCCCACCGCGTGGGCCGCGAGCTGCTTTTTCCACGAAGGGAAAGGTGGAAAACGGCAACTTTCTAGCCAAGTCGGAGGAGCGGAAACTGGGTGCCAGCTGCTCCCCCCAGCCCTCGAGGGGGTCGAGGCGCAGCACGGTGAACACTGGCCGGGTGCGGTTACTGTGGGGATGCGGGGCAGCGCCGCGCTCCGAGGGGGTGGCCACCTGGACGTCGCGGACAGGGCGGGCATTTCAGCGCAGTACGGAGCCCCAAGCTGGAAAGGCCTGGGGCACGGTGCGGCTGGGACCCGTGCCCGCCGGTCCTGGCCCCACGGAGCTACCCTGGCCCAGGCCCTCAGCTGATACACGCGCTGCCGCCCTCTGCCCACCCCGCCCGCCCGGCCCCGCTCCCACCTGCTCAGGCCACCGCCGCCGCCGCCGGGTCACCACCTCCGCGCCCCTGGGGTCTGGGATGTGGCTGCTGCTCGGGACGGGGGCACCCCAAGTCCAAGGCACTGAGATCCCCAGCGAGCAGTACTGGGAGAACACAAGTATTCAAGTGCGGTGATTTATACAATTTTACATTCACATTTATTCTTCTAATACAATGGAGATACAAAGGAAAAGTTAAAGCGTCTGGTGAGGAGAGCTCGCTTTCTGTGAACCTTTGAAACCTTTCACACTTCACTCTCTCAAACTACTGTTGTCCAACAACATTGTATCACAGTGTTTCCTCGTCGCGCTACAGCACTAGTGACCTGTGGGAGAGGCCGCGCGCCCTGCTAGTTTTTACTGGGTGTGGGGAGGAGGGGGTAGGGCCGAGGTGTGCGGGTGGGTGACCCCAAGGCTGGTCCACCCCCACCTCACCCCACCCCACCCCGAGCGCAGACAGGAAAGCTCAGCGGGGCACCCACCACAAGAAAGCCGTTCCTTCCCGCCTCCCGCAGGTGGAGGGAAGAGGAGGAGGTTCTGGCAGGGCGCAGGATGAAGTGAGCACACCCCCGCGCGGGACGGGGAGTCGGCGGTTAGTGCACGCCCTCGGCCCGCGTCTCGGGGCGCGCTAGGTGGTCCGCAGGTTGGAGCCGGGGGGGTTGCTGATGGACTTCTGCAGACTGCTCATGTTGAAGTTCTGCAGGGACGTGGTGCCCACCGGCTGGAACTGGCCGAGCGGCTGCGGCGCAGGGCCGGCCGTGCCGCTCCACTGCGTGCCGAACGGCGCCGCGGGGAAGCCGTACTGCTGCGGGGGGCACATGGACTTGGTGAAGTGGCCCAGAGACGTGGCGGAGGCGGCGGAGATGGGGGCCGAGCTGCCCAGGCTGGAGGCCATGGAGATGCACAGCTGCCCGGGGGCCGAGAACTTGCGCGCCATGCCGGGACCCTGGAACAAGAGCACGACGCGGGTGGGCGCGGGTCGGTGGAGGACCCGACCCAGGGAGAGCCTCTGGTGATCCCACCAGAGAAGATGGGCTGCGCGTGGGGAGAGGGCGGTACGCGGCCGCAGGGCTCGGGGTGGGAGGAAGGGACACTGCGCGGGCCGCACGCAGCCCGGGATCCAGGCAGGGCCGCTTCCACCTCGCTTCTGCCCAAAGGGTTCATGAGCTGGGGCGCGGCCGGGGGGGGGGGCATTCACCTCGTAGTTCATGTGGCCTTTGCTGCCCCTCCGGCCTGAGAGGTTCATGGCGTCGCGGGCCCAGTTGTCCACCAGCTTGTGCAGGTCGTCCGTGAACGTGCCCTTCCTGCTGGACGTCATGGCGGGGGGCTGCGCCTGCGCGGCCTGGCTGCTCGTGGCGCCCCCGACCGTGTTCGTACTGCTGGTCCCTAGAGCGAGCAAGGCGGCGTGAGGAGGCGCTGGGGGTGCACCTCCAGAAAGGGGGGTTTCAGGGGGAGTGAGCAGCAAGCCACAGAATGGGGAGGGAAGTGGAAGCCATGCAGCAAGGACCAGGCGGCTGCTCTGGCCTAGGAGGAGGAGGGGGCAAGGCTCCGGGGACGACGGGGGGGGGGGGGGGGGAGGGCACACAGCAGGAGCCAAGACTGGGGAACCTCTGGAAGCACCCTTGGGGTACCAGGCCTCAGGCAGGGTGGGGCACAGGTGTTGCCCCATGTCTCCGTGAGCCACACACCTAGACAAGGCTGGACGGGACCGCTGCCCGTCCTGTCCCCGGGGAGACGGCTCACGGGAGCCCAGTCAGCTGGTGCAGGGGAGACCCCTCCCCCCAGAGGAGGGGAGGCATCTGGGCGAGGAAGGCGGGGCGCGGGAGGGAGGGCAAGGAGGGAGGGCGCGGGGAGAGGGTCCTGCCTGATTTCGGCTCAGCCGGAGGGCACACTGAAGGTTATCGGAGAGGCGAGTTTCCGGAAAGAGGGAGAGAAGAGTCACGGTCTCATTCCCCCCCTTGTCCCCCAAGTCCCTACCAGTTCCAGATCTCACACCCGCGCCCAAGCGTATAATAAAAGCTGTGCCTACGCGGGTGGCGGGTGAGCCAGTGAGGCCCGCCGTGCGGGAAGGCCGGGGCCAGGTGAGCGCATGCGTGCTCCTGTTCCCCAGGTCAAAGCAGCAGCGCCTCGCACGGACAGCGGGGGAGCAGGGCACAGGCGTGTGCGACGCGGGCGGAGGGCTGCCGACCATGCCGTGGCCCGCGTGGCAGTCTGCGAGGGTGGGCAGGCGCGGGGTGCGGGCATGCAGGGCGCCTCCGCGCAGCGTGCTGGGGTGAGCGGGCGGGCTGTGCACACACAGGAGCAGCACAGGGCTCAGGCCAGCCCCGGGCCGTGCGGGGGGAGCGGGGAGGGTGGGGGTGGGGTGGGGGAGGACCCCCCTGGCCTCGCCTCTCCTGAGCTGCCTGCTCCCCATGCAGTGAGTGCCCCCCCTCCTACCCGAACTGACTGCGACACGGACAGGGCGGGAGAGGGCCCAGAGGCTCCCCAGGGCCGCGGACCGCACCCCAAGCCCTGCTATTCCCCGGAAAATGTCCGAGTAGCAGAACGGACTCGAGTCCAGCCTCCTGACCCTCCCCATGCCGAGTGACCGGCTAGGCCCTGTGTCTCAAGGTACGGAGTGCTCTTGTTAACTCTCTCCAGAACCTTCTAAGCTGCTTCAGGAGGCCGAGCGACTTGTCTTGTAATGAGACATGACTGACAGCAGAGGGGAGCCCCTTTCTCCAGCCAGCCCAGCACCCCCTTGCTAGCTGAGGCCGCTCCCCTCAGCCAGGCCCCTGCCCTCTGCTGCCCTCTGCTGCCCTCTGCTCCTCTCTGCTGCCCTCTGCTCCTCTCTGCTGCCCTCTGCTCCTCTCTGCTGCCCTCTGCTCCTCTCTGCTCCCCTCTGCTGCCCTCTGCTCCCCTCTGCTGCCCTCTGCTCCCCTCTGCTGCCCTCTGCTCCTCTCTGCTGCCCTCTGCTCCTCTCTGTTCCCCTCTGCTCCCCTCTGCTGCCCTCTGCTCCCCTCTGCTGCCCTCTGCTCCCCTCTGCTCCTCTCTGCTGCCCTCTGCTCCTCTCTGTTCCCCTCTGCTCCTCTCTGCTGCCCTCTCCTCCCCTCTGCTGCCCTCTGCTGCCCTCTGCTCCTCTCTGTTCCCCTCTGCTCCCCTCTGCTGCCCTCTGCTGCCCTCTGCTCCTCTCTGCTCCTCTCTGCTCCCCTCTGCTGCCCTCAGCTCCTCTCTGCTGCCCTCTGCTCCTCTCTGTTCCCCTCTGCTCCCCTCTGCTCCCCTCTGCTGCCCTCTGCTCCTCTCTGCTCCTCTCTGCTGCCCTCTGCTCCCCTCTGCTGCCCTCTGCTCCTCTCTGCTCCCCTCTGCTGCCCTCCGCTCCTCTCTGCTGCCCTCTGCTCCCCTCTGCTGCCTCTGCTCCCCTCTGCATCCGCGCTCCCACAGGCCCATCCGCGATCACAGCCAGCAGTAGCCCCCAGCACGCGGACGGATATGAGAACAGGTGCGGGGGGAGGGAAGTGGGGAGTCAGGGAGTTGGGGCGTCAGAGATGACAAGGCTTTACGACCAAGGCCCAAAAGTAAGAGAAGGAAAAGATAATTACTACAGAGCTGGTTGCAAGGACACACTTTTTTCACCATCTTCCCTGAAGCACAAAGAGAGAGCAGGCGTTACAGATGAAGGCACTCGGGACATCTCCACGCGGCGCACGTCGCGCACGCCCAGCAGGAGCGGGGGGCCACAGCCCCGCGGCCCGGCCAGCCCTGGGCGAAGGCTCGCCCCGCGCGTGTCCACTGACCGTCCCTCCACCCGCTCCTGCTGGCCGTCACGAAGCACTCGCGTTAGTGCCGCCGTGACAGCTTCAAGTCGCACTCAACGCTTTAGTTCCACGCTGCGGACAACCGTCCTAACAACCTCCCCCCCGCCCCCCGAAAGCACTTTAAAAGTATGTGGAAAGCAAGCCATCTTTGAACGTAGAGAGAGCGTGAAGCCAAGCCGTGCTTGGGGGCCAAGTGCGGGCCAGGGAGCGCGTAGGGGAGTCACACCCCGCCCCGCGCGTCTGTCCGGCCGCCCCGCCCTGCCTCTGCAGAGACACCATCTCCCCTCCGTACCCCGCTGCGCTGCAGAGACCCACCCCACCGCTGCAACACCACCGCTGAGCGCTGCTAAGGCTCCAGCCCTTCCCTGATGGACGGACAGAACCCACGCAAGTGGTACTTGGGACGCTTTGCTTTCTTTCTGCCCCTCAGCTACTGCAGTCCTTCCGTGGGCCACCCGCCCGCCAGGGCCAGGTCAGCCGGCGGGAGCCAGGCCGCTGGCCGGGCCTCAGTGAGGCAGGAGTTGCGGGAGGGGCGCAGACCATGCTGCCTCTCGGCCCCTCTGTGGAGATGGCCATGTACCACTGGACACCAGTCACCACGGAACACCACGCTGCCATTTCTCCCCAAGGACCCGGCACGATGGCCTGGCACATGCACAGGAAGCGCGTAGTAACCACGCCAGAAGTTTGAGGCCTTACGAGACCGTGATCCACACTCCCATGAAGGTTCATTCTTAACTTTTTCATGTTTAGGTTTTTTGGGGTGCCAATCCTGGGGCTTGAACTCATGAGTCTGGGTGCTGTCTCTGAGCTTATTGGCTTAAGGCTAGTGTGCTCTACCACTTGAGCCACAACTCATTTCTGCTTTTTGGTGGCTCATCGGCGATGAGAGTCTCACAGATTTTCTTGCCCTGCTGGCCTGGCTTTGAACTGTGATCCTCAGACTCAGCCTCCGAGGAGCTAGGCGGACAGGCGAGAGCCACCGGCGCCCAGCGCTGTGCTGCCATCTTATTTCGGCCTGTGTGTACCAACCCCCTACTGGGCACAGCCTGGAGCGCCTCCTAAATGCCCGCGGATTCTGTACTCAGCGTCCGCTCTGACCTGTCTGCAGCTGGGGGGGGGGGGGGGCCGCACACCCAGGAGGGCAGGCCAGCTCGCTCCTAGGAGAAAATCTCAGCAGTTTTCACATGGGCTTAGACCTTTAACAGGTAACTGCTGGTCAGGAAAAGCACGCTAAAAACCCTGTTTGAATTACTAATCTCACAGGGGCAAAGGGAAGTAGTGGTGGAAGAGCCACACCTCCACTTCCTTCCAACTCTTTGGAGGCGAAGTGGAGATAGGAGTCCCACAGACTTTCCTGCCGGGCTGGCTTCAAACTGCGATCCTCAGCCTCCTGAGTAGCTAGGATGGCAGGTGTGAGCCGCGGGCACCAGGCTCCAGCATCAATTCAACTGGTACAGGTGAAAGCTTAATCGAGGAGAAAAATACCCAAACAAAGATTTCAACTCACTCAGAAAATAAGGATAAGTTCTGCCTGTTACCAGACTCTTAAGCACACCAGGAGTCAGTTCCAAACAAGGGGTGGGGGGGGAGCACCGAGCAGGCCCGCACAGCAAGCACCCCGTCACCTCTGGCTGTCTGGAGCCCAGGAGGCAGCAGTCCTGCAGGGGGCCATGTCTGCAGCTTTTACGAGTGAACCCAGGACCCAAACTTCTGAGGGTACGAATAGCCAAGCCACTGAGTGGATGACATAACAAGACGAATGAAAATGACTGCACGACAAGTCAGATCCAAAAGCAGCAGAAGAACAAGGGCAAGGAAGGATAAAGGTGTTACACACAAAGAGCCAAGCAGGGCGTACTCAGAAATCGGGTCCTCCGGCCACCGGCCTTGAGCGCCACCTGCTCAGACGCACAGCTAAACTTCGCACAGCCTGTGAGAAGGGAACAGGGAAAACAGAGAGAGAGACAGAACACAACTACAAGATGTTAGAAACTGGAGGCGGGCGCGGTGGAAGGCACTCAGATGGCACACACAGCGAGCCCGGCGGGTGACACGGAGCGGCAAACACCAAGCCCAGCCTGCCACCTGCCCAGGCCGACGCTTCGCTTTGCTTCTGCGTTCGTCCTTGTCAACCAACTAGATTCACCTGGTAAACAGGACAACCTACTTCTAAGTTCTATCAAACCGTGGCAAAGAAATGTTATTTCATTCTTTCCCACCTAGATGCCCAACTCTTCAGGTCTAACTCTAATGTTACTTGAAACTCTGCAGGACTGTTTTCAGCGATAGTTGATAAAACCAACCTCTACTGTGAAAGACAGATAGATGTTTAGCAGGTACAACTAGTTCTCTGCACAACACTACCTTATTTACAAATTTTAAAGAAAACACCTTCTTAGTTTCCAGAAATTGCTAGAAACTCCTTAGAAGGTGGTCCTGGAAGTGTCTGACTACTATTAAAGGCTAAGTTCTGACCCCATGTAAGTTCTTCATCTAATCCCCAGAAAGAAGCCATATCATGAGTGCTCAGAACCATGAGCCCGAGGGTTCTAGCCTCAACCCGGTCTCGGGAGGCGTCCCGAGCCGGCCCCCCGCACAGGTCGGCAGCTGTGTTCTGATGAGCTGGTGACACCAAGTTACTACTTATCCAGCTGTCATCCTGGGTACTTCCATGTTTCTGGAAGGTGGTGGTTGCTGTGGTTCTTTTACCTTGACCTGGCGCAGCAAGGCTTGGTACAGAGACGGCGCCATCGCTGGTGAAAGCCGAGTAGAGGTTGTCACTGGAGGGCGAGGGCTTCAGAGGCTGAAGCAGCTGGCTGTGGCCCGTCTCGGAGGTGTTGCTGGTGGGGTGGAGGGTCTGCTGCGGGTGCAGGACGGAGGCCCCGCTCTGTCCAGACAGGTTCCCTGCCGTGGGTAAAGGGCCGTGAGAGGCGCGCCCGGCAAGCCCGCTCCCGCGCCATCCCTTCACAGGGCGGAGTAGTGAAGGACAGGTCAACGCCCTGGGCGCTGAGGAGGGGGAATGCCCTGAGCGTGACGCGAGGAGAGCTGAGATTTTACACTTTAGCTACTTAAGAGGGAGCACAGGCGTGAGCTGAGGGAGGCTGGACACGGCGCTGTGTGTGGATGAAGAACCCCATTAGCACATGCATGATCACGTGTTTTGGCCTGAAACCTGACTACGCTTCCGCGTTCCCTGGATTTCCCACTGCACACAAGTGGGCTTGAAGAGCGTTGCATGCGTGTCAGAACCTAAACTAGCTGACCCTGCAACAAATCACTTCTCCATCAATGCTGTATGAATTGGTCGTGTGCCCAAGCAAAGTCAGGTCTGGGCATTGATTCTTCCAAGAATGGAGAGAAGACTCAGCATTTGCTATGAGCTTTGCAAATACTCTCCAACTTTCTGAGATCAGACCTGGAAATGAAACAGACATCCGGAGTGTCTGTGTGGTCTTTGTGTATACTCAATTCTAGCTGCCAGGATGACCTGAAGCTTCGTGAACAGCCAGTAAGGCCCAAGAGCTCCGTTAGGCTGAGTCACATGGGTTAGTTATCTAGAACGACTACAAATGAGGACTACCGGGACACAGCAGCATGGACACGGCACAGCTACCATACTGAACTCTCTGTAGAGTCAAAGGGCAGCCCTGAAGGGCTAGTGAGGCTCTATCTCAAAGCTCATATAGCTAACAAACATGGAGTAGGAGGAGGGTTCCCTTGCGCAGCTGGAGACAGAAGAAGCAAGCGGCTGCCTTGGTCGGGCTTACCTGAGAGCTGCGGGCTCTTATTCCCCAGTGAGCTGCTGCGGCTCGATTTGCTGCCTTTGCTTTTAGTGGGCCGCCTTCTCCTCCCCGAGAGCGGGGCAGCAGGGGGAATGATGACGGCGGGGGGCACCTTGCCCAGTTTGGTGTACAAACATTCAATCTCCTGCTTCTGGCGACTTTGTAGGTCCTGAATCTCTTTAAGATGTCTACGAAAAATAAGCAAAGATAGAAAATGTTTTAAGCAAAATGTTTTGCTTTGCTCAAACAAAAAGTAAGCCTAATTTTTTTTTTTGGGGGGGGAGGGGGAATCAGTTGTGGGGCTTGAACTCAGGGCCTGGGTGTGTTTTGAGTCTCTGTGCTCAAGGCCAGCACTCTATCACTTGAGCCACAGCACCGATTCCACTTTTTGAATGGTTAATTGGAGATAAGAGACTGATGAGGACTTTCATGCCCAGGCTGGCTTTGAACCACAATCCTCAGCTCTCAGATCTCCTGAGCAGTTAGGATTATAGGTGTGAGCCACTGATGCCTGGCTAAAAATAAGCACACTCTTCGATCTGCCTTCAGTCATCTGTACTTCTGTGAGATTCTACACTGTCAACCCATCTTGCCAATTCCAACTGCAAACAGTTGAGAATGTGTTAGGGGAAAAGGATTCCCAGGCCATAGGTGAATAGGATATTCTGACTCAATTTGATAAATAAAAACCTGCCAACATAGTTACACATGCAGTGCCAGTGTTAGACTCATGCGGGAGACTTGATGGCCACAGAGGGTGCGGTGCGCAAGTGCAACCGTGACGCGGGGCTGGCCAGAGGGGCGTCCCAGCACGGTCGGCGGGCACGCCGCCTCCAGCTCGGAGGAGCACCACGTCAGCACCAGGCGCTCTGCCCCAGTAGACCATCGACCATTATTTTTCTTAGGAGCAAACATACTTTTCCCGAAGTCGCCGGAGCTCTGACTTTAAATCTTCATCTTCAATGTCCGATTCGTTGTCACTGCTCATGTAAGAGGAGTTGAAGGAGTTGCTAAGGCTCTGACTTAGACTCTGGATGGGAAGGCTCTTGGAGCACAGGTGAGGCGGGGACTGCGGGCTGCCTGAGCCGTCGTCCAGGCCCCTGCTGAGAAAGGCAGCCTCCAGGTCGGAGGATGGCCCGTTCAGATGTAAAGGCTGGGCTGGCTCCGGCTTGTCTTTCTTTGGTATCGCGGTGGGAAGAGCAGCGTGTGCAGAGTCTCTGAAGGGAGGAGATGCGGCCGACTCCTGCTTCACCTCTGCCATCTTGTCCTCAGTTCTCGACACTGAGAAACGACCCACTTTGCTGGCTGTAGCTGTCACCTGAAAACGCCCGACCTTGGTAGGCTGCCCCCCTTCCAGCGTTGTTTCTGAGGCAGGGGATTGGTGGGCGCTGTCTGGAGCGTCCGAGGGGACCCCGGGGGCCGGCACCCCGCCAGGTCCTGGCTGCACCAACGTGCTCTCCGGGCTGCTACTCGACAGTACGGATGACTCCGACGTGCTCGACTCAAAGTGGACAGACTTCACATCTTCTGGCTTAGTTTTGCCAACTTTCTGGACATCATCTGTGGCAACTGAAACCTGAGTTGAGAGAGACAGACAGACAGATTAAAAACTAATGTCCCCAAGTTAACTTCTAGCATAGGTTGTTAAACAAAAGAAAACCAGTTTATTCCCCAGTAAATGAACAGGCCGAATCTCTCTCCATAGTCTGAGAAAATTTTCAACTGAGAAAGCCAGACTGAACTCCACCACAGAGAGAGTGCGTGCTGAGCGAACAGGCTGAGTACCACGGGAGAAAGCAGATGGAAGACGCCACAGGAGAAGCAGGCTCCGCGCTGGGTGGGAAAGGAGACTGTTCACTGAGAGCCCCGCAGCAGCACCAAGATGCCACCACACACGATGCACCACACACAGGGACCAGACTGCGCCTCAGTGAAAACATACGTAACGGCCAGGAAAAGGCTGAAGGCTACGTGTGAAGAAGCAGCCCTCACTAAATGCCAGCTAAGCCTCAAAAGAAACAATTCAACCAAGAGGTACTAGAAGGCAAGATACAGATTCTTGTCCTGGTTTTCCATAACTCTAAATTCAAACTTGGCCCAACTACAAACTCTCAGACCTTCAAAGTCGACAAAGGAAAAAATATCAACTATGATTCCCAACCCTAAAGGCTAGCTTAAAAATAACTTCTAGAGCGGGCACTGGTGGCTTACGCCTGTCATCCCAGCTACTCAGGAGGCCGAGATCTGAGGATCACGGTTCAAAGCCAGCCTGGGCAGGAAAATGAGACTTATCTCCAATAAACCACTAGAAAACTGGAAGTGGTGCTGTGGCTCAAGTGGTAGAGCACTCACCTTGAGCTGAAGAGCACAGGGACAGCGCCCAGGCCCAGAGTTCAAGCCCCATGACCGACAAAAAACAAAAAAAATAATTTGCAGGGGCTGGGAAAGTGACTCAGTGGAAGAGCGCTCACCTGAACTGAAAAGCTCAGGACAGAGCCTAAGCCCAGAATTCAGGTCCCACAACCAGACACACAGACACACACAGACACACACACTCACAGACACACACACACACACACACACCCTTGCAAACAGTTGTGGAAGCAGTGCTGTGTTGTCCTAGGGCTTGATCTCAGGGCCTAGCAATGTTCTTGAGCTTTTTTGCTTGAGACTAGTGGTCTATTACTTAAGCCACAACTCCACTTCTGGCTTTCTGGTGGTTGATTGTAGGCAACAGTCATGGACTTTCCTGCCCAGGCTGGCTTTGAACCAGGATCCTCAGATCTCAGCCTCCGTAGTAGCTAGGATTGCAGGTGTGAGCCACCAATGCCTATGTTTTGTTTTTGTCAGTTGTGGCGCTTGAACTCTGGACCTGGGCGCTGTCCCTGAGCTCTACCACAGGAGCCACAGAGCCACTTCTGGTTATCTAGTGGTTTACTAGAGGTAAGAGTCTCGTGGACTTTCCTCTTTGGGCTGGCTTTGAACCATGATCCTCAGATCTCAGCCTCCTGAGTAGCTAGGCTTACAGGCGTGAGCCATTGGTGCTTGGCTACACTACTTTTATGAAAGCAAACGACAGTTATCAGTTGTGTCCCAAATAGAGAGGCGATAATCTTACATATGCACAGGAATTACAGTCTTACCTGAAATCGCCCCATCTTAAGAACAGCAGCTCCTGAGCCACCGGCTAGGACAGAGCCCTCTGTGCCTTGAAACACACAGAAGAAGACAGATTAGCGCTTTTTTTTTTTTTTTTTTACTTTAGTTAGCTGCTTTCCTCCCGCTAGAGAAACAAGAGTAAGATTTTACTTAATCCATTGATTTTTTTTTGGGGCGGGGGGGGATCAGTTGTGGGGCCTGAACTCTGGACCTGGGCGCTGTCCCTCAGCTCTTCAGCTCAAGGCTAGCGCTCTACCACTTGAGCCACAGCGCCACCTCTGGCTTTTCTGCTTACATGGTGCTGAGGAATTGAACCGAGGGCCTCATGCATGCAAGGCAAGCGCTCTACCACTGAGCCACCTTCCCAGCCCCGACCTCATCGTATTTTTACCTAGGTGGGTCTCAAACTGTAAGCCTCTAGGCTTTTTTGCTTCAAGCTAGAGCTCTGCTACTTGAACCAAAGCTCCATTTCTGGCTTTTTTAGTGCTGAATTGGAGATAAGACTCTCTGGGGCTGGGCAGGTGGCTCAGTGGTAGAGCGCTTGCCTTGCATGCTTGAGGCCCTGGGTTCCATTCCTCAGCACCACATAAGCAAAAAGAAAAAAGCCGAAGTGGTGCTGTGGCTCAAGTGATAGAGTGCTAGCCTTGAGCTGAAGAGCTGAGGGACAGCGCCCAGGCCCAGAGTTCAGGCTCCATGACCGGACGCCCCCCCCCCCCAAAAAAAAGACTCTCAAAGACTTTCTTGCACTTGTTGGCTTCAAACCATAGTCCTCAGATCTCAGCCTCTTGAGTTGCTAGGATTATAGGCATGAGCCACCAGCACCAAGCTGTAAATTACTTGTTTTTAAACAAGCAATCCAATTCAGAATGTAACTTACTTGAATTAAAATATTTCAGCTGGGGGCTGGTGGCTCATGCCTATGTAATCCTAGCTACTCAGGAGGCTGAGATCTGGGGATCACGGTTCAAAGCCAGCCTGGGCAGGAAAAGTCGGTGAGACTCTTATCTCCAATAAACCACTCAGAAAACCAGAAGTGGAGCTGTGGCTCAAGCCTTGAGCTGAAGAGCTGAGGGACAGCATCCAGGCCCAGAGTTCAAGCTCCAGGACCGACCAAAAAAAAAAAAAAAAATCAATGGATTAAGTAAAATCTTACATGTGTATCTTTATACAAGTACATGTCCAGGCCTTTCAAGTGCATCTATCTATCAAGTACATAGCAAGTGTTTAGAAATGAGGACGCTGTGTGTAAATGCTCCAATGACAGGTTTCAGGCATGTACCACCAACTCCAACTTCCAAGTCAGCTTTCATAAACATGCTTGCATTTCCCACCTCCTTATAACAAAAAGGTTACCTAGAGAATAACCAAGTTTCTTATGCTAAGAAACTGAATCATTACCTGACGTTTCAGATGCCTTAGTGCTTAATAAACAAAAAATTCAATCAGCTAACCTTGCATGCTTTAGATATTATCAAAGTTCCCTAGACATGGAATATGCAGGAATGTTCCTTGTACATCTGAACTGCACCAACGTTCTCAGGAATGCATCTCTGAAATGGCATATTCTGTACTTCCCACAAGCACCCACAGCGTCTAAACGCCCAGGCGAGCTCCTTATCGTGACTGCTCTACTGGCCAGCGCCAAGGGTGCAGCTCACCGTGCTCCTGAGGCTGCGGGCCAGCTTCCGTAACCGCGGGCGGAGCCTCCACCGACACTGGCTGCAAGACACAGACACACACCACAGCAGCTTCAGTTTCAGTCATTCTTACGCCGTCCCGCTGACACCGTCCCTCAGGTCTTTGTGAAATGGCAGTAGTACACACAGAAAAGAACACTATGTCGAAGGGAATTTTATTTTCTCTTATGAGTTTGCTTTTGAAAAGCAGCTTTTTTTTTGGGGGGGGGGGCAGTCCTAGGGCTTGAACTCAGGGCCTACGCGCTGTCCCTGAGCTTCTTTTGTTCAAGGCTAGCGCTCTACCACTAGAGCCACTGTGCCACTTCTGGCTTTTTCTATGTGGTACTGAGGAATCAAACCCAGGGCTTCATGCTAGGTAAGCGCTAAGCTACATTCCCAGCCCCAACAATCAGCTTTTATGAGACATGTCGAGTATTGCCTTTAAAAATTTCTTCACAGCATATTTAAAGAATACATTAAAAAGTCACAGAAAAGTGGTTTGTACCAAACATTATTATTGCACAAAGTGTAACCTCCTCCAGAGAAGAATACAAAATCCACAGGACTGATCTACAATGTAATCTACCGAGGGGAAAGATTAAAAAAAGAAGCATCTTTCTAGTCTTTTCCACAGCGTTCGCATTTTACGGGTCTGCCTCTTTTCGGCTGGGTGGCACCAGCTCGCTTGCTCCCCCGCACAGGTGTGGGCGATACAATGCGTTTGGGGTTCAGAAGAGACTGGGGACTAAAAGCTCACCCCTCCTGCAGACGCCACTGTGATGCTCTCTGGACTAAGTGTCCTTCTCAGCTGGGCATCAAGGTCTTCTAGAGGTTGCTGGAAGGGCAAAGAGTTACAGTTCATGTAAGTACACCTCCAGAGCTGCTACGTGCAGCCGAGATAGATAGGACACACGGTTTCATTCTTTACATTACAACCGAACATGTGTTCCCATTAAATACAAGACAGTATACTAAAATCTGGCATAACCTTTTGATGGTCCTCAAGTCTGCGTGCCACTCTGTCAGGCCTTAAGAGTAACTCAGTGACACTTACGTTTTCACAGCCTTGAAGTTACCCTTACCTTTGAGAGGCAATGCTGGTGTTAGGGGCCTCACGTGCTCTACCATGGGGCCATGCCCCCAGCCCTTCCTGTCTTGTATCTGATGGCCCCTGTGCCCATCTGCCGTCTTCTGTCCGTCTATTTCTACACTGGTCCTCACGCTTTTGTCTAGACACGCTGGCACCTCCATGCTTCCTGTGACCGTCTGCGCTCACCGAGAGCTCTTTTAGGGGGAAGAGGGGAGTGGTGGTGGTCATGGGACCCCACTGTGTCGCCCAGGCAGGTCTACACTTCTTACATGGGGGCTGTTCCCAGCCTGGCCTCCCAAGCGCCAGGGTCACCGTGCAGCCAAGTGCTTGGCTTCGGAACGCGTGCTGTTTTTTCTTTTTTGGTGGCACTCAGGTTTGAACTCCCAAGCCTCATGCTTGCTAGGCAGGTACTTTACCAGTAGAGAGACCCTGGCGGCCCTTTTACTTTCATTCTTTTTTGAGTAGGGTCTCCTGTCTTTCCCTAGGCTAGACTGCAATAGTCCTAAATCAAGCCTATCGTCCCGATAGCTGGAGGGACGGGTGCAGGCCTTGAACCTTCTGATCTACCTCCCCAGAAGCTGGGATTATAAGCATGAGCCACTATGCTATGCTGCAAGCCTGATTTTCGTTAGGAACAAGCTTAGTTTTTACACTGAACTCCCATCCCTCTCCCATCCCCCTCCATGTGAGGGCTGGAGAGTCAGCTCTCGCTGGGAATTATCCCTGACGGTAGCGAGTTCTTCACCTTACGGTCTATTCAATACTGGGATGGAAGAAGAAGGGATAAGTTCAAACTAATCTTCTCAAGTAAGTAGCCTGGCACGCTTTTCTTACATGTAACTCCAAAATAAATTCCTAATTCAGTTTTAAAGTTTATTAGTGGGTCCCATGTTAACTCTCTCACAGTTACAATGGATTTCCAACAAGCACTTCCCCTATGGGAGCTGTTAGTGAGGGGAACAGGTGAGCAGATGAAGTCATGATTTCAGGACTACATGAATTCTGATCACCTCGGCAACTCCATAAGCGTGAACAGGGGATCTATAAGTTCATATACTGCTCATCTCAGATCCTTTATGAGTAATATTTTCATGCTAGCGCTCACTGGAGTGTGTTATTTCTATGTAGTTTTCGTCAGTCCCTAACTTCACTAGTTGCTTAATAAAAGAAACAATGAACATTCCTTAAAGTATACGTTAAACTTAGAAAAGAGTCCTATCAATGCAGTTTCCTCCTTTTCAAACTGACCTCGCGCCATGACCCAAGAACTGGGATTACAGCGGTACACCACCACACCTGACTTGTGGTTCTCTTTTCTTACTAAGTTTTATTACATAAAACTTCTTATTTCTGGGATAGCTTAGAAGCAAACCTTACATTTAAAATACAGTTTCACTATTCTATGAAGTAAGAAGCTGAGCACCAGAGGCTCACGCCTGTCATCCTAGCTACTCAGGAGGCTGAGATCTGAGGATCACAGTTCAAAGCCAGCCTGGGCTGAAAAGTCCCTGTGAGATTCTTATCTCCAATTAGCCACTCAAAAACCAAAAGTGGTGCTGTGGCTCAAGTGGTAGGGTGCTCACCTTGAGCTGAAGAGCTCAGGGACAGCGCCTAGGCTCAGAGTTTGAGCCCCATGACAAAAAATAAAAATAAAAAAAAAAATATATATATATATATAAAGAATCTATTGATATTAGTATTAACTAGTTAAACATTAGTCAAATGTTTTCTAGATGACCTGAAGCAATATTCTGGACAATAACAACAGAAAAACAGTGGGCCTGGGGCATCACCTGCCAAGTTGTCAAAGGAAGGTGTCTCTAAGCTAAAGCCACAAGGAGCCAGCCTGGAGCCACGACCATGCCAGAGAGAATGTAAGCAAGCTCTGGGAAGGAGAGCAGGGACCAAGAAAGAGAGGTATGTGTCTCAGGGCACCTGCGTTTGTGAGGGTCCAGGAAAAGGCGGCGGCTGCTGCTCGCAGGACAGAGCCCCAGCTGGAAGTTCAGTGCCCCCTGGCAGCACCTACAACGGGGAGAATTCAAGTCCATGAGACACTAATGGTCAAGATTCACATTACAAACCAGCCAGTCTGAATGCAGAAACATGAACTATATGTAGTTAAAGCTTGCTTATCACCCAGGCTACACTGATGTATTTTAAATAAAGGACTTAACCAATGGTACGTTGTAAGAGTTAATCTGAAATAACTATGAAATGGTAAAATCTAATAAAAGGTAGTTCCTGAAGGAAAACAAAGAGAACACTGTGTTACACAGATAAGAAACAGACTCCAGATTTCTTTTTGTTAAGACAGTTGTGGGGCTTGAACTCTGGGCTTGGGCACTGTCCCTGCACTCTTCAGCTCAAGGCAAGAGCTCTACCGCTTGAGCCACAGCACCACTTCCGATTTTCTAGTGTTTAACTGGAGATGAGTCTCAGACTTTTCTGCCCGGGCTGGCTTTGAACCGTGATCCTCAGATCTCAGCCTCCAGAGTAGCTACGATTACAGGTGTGAACCACTGGCGCCCGGCTACCCTAAGCAGTTTTTGCTCAAGGTTTCTGTTCTGCCACTCGAGCCACAGCACCACTTCTGGTTTTCTGGTGATTTATTGGGAGATGAGGGTCTCATGGACTTTCCTGCCCAGGACTGCTTTGAACAGTGATCCTCAGATCTCAGTCTCCTGAGGAGCTAGGATGACAGGCGTTAAGACACCAGGACCCAACGAGATATTTTTGAGGCCACTTATTTGATCTAAAAAAAAAAAAAAAAAAAGCTGGGTGTCAGTAGCTCACATCTGTAATCCTAGCTACTGAGCAATGCGGTTCAAAGCTAACCTGGGCAGGAAAGTCCATAAGGCTCTTTATCTCCAACAAATTACTCAGAAAAAGCCGGAAGGGGCACTGTGGCTCAAAGTGATAGAGCGCTAACCTTTAGCCAAAGAAGTGCACGGAGAGCGCCCAGAGTTGAAACCCCAAGACCAGCATGCACGCACACACACATAATAAAATTTAAAAAAAAATCAAATTCACATAAGAAAACATGACTTTCAAGAGAAAACAAAGGCTGACTTAAAAAAATAATCAATGGACAGATGTAAATTCAAAACTATCAAGTGCTTTCTCTTCTGTCTGCACTAAGACTTGACATAGAATGCCCTGACTTACAGTAGCTCAACTTGAAAATGTTCTCAACTCAGGATGGGGCAAAATTACATTCAGTAGAAACCATAGATTAACTTTTTGTGTCTGAGTTGGGGGTCCAGCAATGAGCTTCTGAGTTTGGGTGCCAGTCTCCGCTCCGGGAGCGGGGCGGGGCGGGGCTGGCACAGCAGGCCGGGCTGTCAGCCGCGCCCCTTCACAGGACACCACAGCTCCCGCTCCACACTGCTCCGCGGTTCCAAGCGGCCGGGTCAGGGCCCATTAAGTCTATCAGTGCTGTCCTGGCTTACAATATCCTCGGTTACTATGGTCTTGTAAAGTCAGGAAACATCTGCATTACTCTAATATAAAAAGGTTTTCACATCTTTGTAATGCAGAAAGATGGCTGCATGAAATGCATCCTTGTTTCTGAGGCTGAGAAAGGCTGAGAGAGCAGAGAAGAGGAGATCTACCAGGGCAGAACGAGAAACTCCGTGCTAGTTACGTACCTCTTCCTCCTCTCTACCACTTTCACCTTTGAGTTCCCATCCATCTCAAACAGAGCTACTAGGGAACCAAACAGCACAAAATGACTTCCTTCTCACCACAAACACAGCAGCTCAGCTAGCCGGGCGCCAGTGGCTCACACCCGTCATCCTAGCTACTCAGGAGGCTGAGACCTGAGGATCATGGTTCAGGGCCAGCCCTGGCAGGAAAGTGAGACTCTTATCTCCAAAAAAAACACTAGAAAACCGGAAGTGGTGCTGTGGCTCAAGTGGTGGAGCACTAGCTTTGAGCTGAAGAGCGCAGGGACAGAGCCCAGGCTTAGAGTTCAAGCCCCATGACAGACAAAAAAGAAAACAGAGCAGTTTAACTACTCTCACCATGATCCCCTTGCTGACAGACTCACACCTGGTATAAACTAGGGAAAGCAGTCATGTGACGTAATTAACCTAAAATTCCCGCCATACTTCACAAAGGAAGTTCTGGGTTCAAAGTACGCGTGCTCTTACACCACTATTGCCAGTTGAGGGCACTCAACATATGTTAGGCACCTTCAGATCTGCAACTCTACCCTGCAAAGCAACTGGCCCACGGCGTGGGCTAGGGCGAGGGCATGGGGGAAGGGGCCCTAACCAGAAAAGCTCACCGGAGGCTTAGCTGAAGGTGGCTTTGAGGGAGTCGTCGCTGGTTTCATTCCCGATGCGGTGCTGACTGGGGCTGGCACGTAGCTGCTGGGGGTAGAAGCCTGCCCAGGGGTGCCCGCGGTGCCCACTGTGGTGAGTGGCAAGCCCGCCGTTCCCAGTGGCAAGCTGGCTGGTGGCAGGCAGGTACTCGTCGTAGACGTCATGAGTTTGCTCGGTGCAACAGCGGTGGTGGGGACCCCTGGCGTGACCGTGGCCTCTGCTGCCAGTGACGTCTCCAGCGAGACGGGGGCGTGGGACGAGCCATGCTCGCTGAAGAGTGACCGCAGCTTCTCCTCCAGTGTCTTTATGTCATCGATGCCCGGAGCCTTTGGCTGCGTGTCGGCGTCCACGTCCGGACAGTGCGCGTGGGGCTGGCTGGGGAGCAGGGCTGGCTGGGGCTGGCCGTGGACGAGCGTCTGCTGCACGGCAGGCACACTGGTGGCAGGCTGCAGCAGGGGCGGGACGCCGGGCACTTGCGGTAAGAGAGGCGTGCACGTCGGTGCGGCTGCGTGGGGAAGCACGGGTGTAGAAGCCACCGCGGATGGGAGGACCAGGGGATGCAGAGCAGCAGAGCCAGACACTGCGGTCCCTGGGGAGGGCGAGGAGGAAGGCGCAGACAAAGGCACGGCCAACCCAGCTGTACTGCTATGTGACGGTTTGTCCAGGGAGTGTGCGCTAACCACTGCCGTTTCAGCCAGAGTCGGAGCGGAGGTGCTGCTGCTAAGCTGAAGGGGCGGCTGCGAGGCCGTGCTCGGGAATGGCACGGTGGCAGGAACCACAGGCGCAGCGGCCACCCCAGCAGTGCTGCCCGAGGCCTGCGGCGGCAGCATGGCGGGAGGCCCTGGGCCAGGGGCGCTCGCACCGCCTGCTGCGGTGGTTACAGCGGTTGAAACTGTGACAGAAGGAAAAGCGCCTGTACTAGCCACAGTGCTCCCCGACACGGGGGCCTGAGATGGCTGCGCGGCTGTAGACACAGCGACCACGGGGGGTACTGTGCTGCTGGAGACCAGGCCAGGAAGCGGCGGTGGCGGCTCCGACACAGACACAGGAGGGCCCGGGAGAGCGCCGAAAGTGAGCACTCCTGTGCTGGTGGGGACTTGGGCAATTCCTTTGTCAGTGGGCACCGTGACTTCAGACGGAATCACTGCGGTGGAACTGTCAGTAAGAGGGCTGCTGGTTCCTGGGACTGACGCTGAAGGAGTAGCTGCTGCTGCGGCTGGGCCTCCAGCAACGCTACCCAGGAATGGAGGAAAGGCTGGTCCCGTGAGACTGAAGTTGGGAGGCGCTGTGTTGGGCCCTTCCGACGTCTGGGCATGTCTAAGCTCAGAAAAGGCCTGCTGGAGACTAAGGGATGAGGCCGAGTGAGACAAGTTCATCCCAGGACCCTGAGACGCAGAGGCAGCAACTGCAGAGGAAAACCAAACACACACACACAACATATAACGCGTGCACGTGTGAAACGTACGCTATACACATACACACAACCTGTTTTGAAAGGACAGATTCAAAGGACTGTCCGATGAACTTATTTTTCTAATCAGTCACCAACAGAATCACCTAGCATTAAATGTACACACTTGTCCCGAGGAAATGACATGCTCTAACACTGCAAAGTGTTTCTGGAAAACCATCAAGCACTAAGTAATGTGGAAACGTTCAGAATTCCAAATGCAGACGCTCACACGCAAGTCTCTACTGCGTATGTCGTTTCTGGGACGGCCGATACTCCTGCCCTCTTCTTTAGTAAATCATCTCCATTGGCTGTCTATTTCCTTCCTCCACGTATATACCTCAATTTTTATAATGTAATCTTTCCACTTTTTAAAAACATCATGATCATCATGAGCTACCTCTTGATGATCAGCTTCCATCAGAGCAGAGGCTGTAGAACTTACTGAAGTATGGCAGAATCAATCCTTACCCGTATCTGCTGCTTCACTGGTGAAAATTTTTGATTCTCGTAATCGACTTTCAGGAACAGGGCTCACGATAAACCGTCTTCCAGCTGAATGAACAACTTGAGTTAAGGAACTGGTAGGCACCCCTGGACAAAACGAGACAAAACCGCTCAGTCGCATTTACATACACTGTCCCCACGATGAAGCGTCAAGACACACAACTTCTTATGTCAAAGGAAAATTCACCTATTTGCTGGGGCATGGAAGACACAGGAGTGGGTTGTTTGAACTCTCCTTCCAATTTCTACAATAGATAAAAGTAATAAAAGTAATAAATTCATTCCCAAAGGCAACCTCCGTGATTAGGCAATGACATGGCAATGTGAGCAGAGCGTGAGTGCTTGGTCCCGATGACAGGTGTAAGGAGCCAGCAGGGACCCTGTGCACAGGGCGACTGGCTCCGAGCACACAAGCTCCTCCTTCTCCACCTCGGCACAGCGCGCCTACCTGAGAAGCCGAGAAGCCGTAGTCATCCTTTCCCTGCAGGCTCTCCAGCCCCCGGTCCCCCTCCGGCTCCACACTCACGTCCTCACTGAGCATCTCGTCAGCCTTTTCAATAATCTCCCGCACTTGAGCCACAAATGACTCTCTTTCGATTGCTAGGATAAAGTCATTGTTCACCTGAAATGAGATGTCACGTCCATCTGATTAGTGTCACGTTCTCAACAATGCTTATGACTTGGAAACTACCTGAATATAAGCTAGGTTATTACATAGTTGATATTTAAGCTCATCCTTCCTCATTTGTTTTTGGCACTGGGGTTTGAACTCAGGGTCTTGAGCCATGTGAGGCAGGTGCTCTACCATGTGAGCTACAGCCCCACCCTTGTTTGCCTAAGGCAGCCTGAACCACAGTGCTCCTGTTTAAGTTTCCTGTGCATCTGGGCTGACAGATGTGCCCCACCAAGCCTGGATTTTACTAGTTGAAGTGGAAGTCTCATGAACTTTGTCTGGCTTGGCCTTGAGCCGTGACCTTCCCAGTTTCTGCTGCCCTAGCAGTTAGGATTACAGGCATGAGCTACTACAACCTGCTAGTTCTTCCCCCTTTTAAGCAGCCCAATATTTACATAAGACACGTCCTAAACCATCTCCCAAGCCGGGAGGAGGGACCCCGCAGCAGATGGGGTGAGCCTGGGGCTGCAGTCACACACACCATAATCGTGGCTATCTCCTCTGGGTTATCGCCATCCAGGTCAAATTTGAAGGTAACCATCTTTCGATTATGGGTCTCTAACTGACACTCCACTACCCGGTCTCCTTTATTTGAAACCTAGAGAAAGAAAGGAAAAGGGACTTCATTTCAGAAGATTAATCTAAAACTGTAATTTTTCTAATAAGCAAACAATCATATAACATCTAGGAACACTTGGGAGGACAGAGAGGGCCTAAACTTTGATCAATTCACTAAAAAAAAAATAAACAGGCAAATTACTTAAATGTTATCAACTGCCTTGCAAGGCACCTTTTCATTTGTTTTTTGTTTTTTTTGGGGGGGAGGGGAAGGGGAAGGTGGTGTTGGGTCTTGAACTCGGGGCCTGGGCACTGTCCCTCAGCTCTTCAGCTCAAGGCTAGCGCTCTACCACCTGAGCCACAGCGCCACTTCCGGTTTTCTGGTGGTCCACTGGAGAGCAGAGGGTCTCACAAATGTTTCCAACAGGGCTGGCTTTGAACCGTGATCCTCAGGTCTCAGCACCCTGAGTAGCTGGGATGACAGGCCTGAGCCACCAGTGCCTGGCACTCTGCTTTTGTTTTTTTTTTGGCGGTAAGATCTTGCTATATATAATCCAGGCTGGCCTCAAACCCACAATCTTCCTGCCTTACCATCAAAGCTGGGCCATCATGCCTGGCTCATTTTCATTCTTTTCTAATTGAGAAATGTGATACTAAATTACAAAAGATGATGTGGATTAGATGGCAAGTGTTATGTAATGTATATGTAACTCAAAGACAAGGTATCTTTATTTCACAAAGTGATCTTTCAGAACGCCCAGCTGCTTTACCACCACGCAGGCCACCCAGCCGCGCGCTTACATTCAGAATCCTCAGTTTCGGGCGGGAAGTCTTTTCGTGCCGTGAGCGACTCCTCACAGACTTCCGGCAGTGTCGTTTTGTCGCTCTCCCCTCGTGCCTCCCGCCAGATGAGGGGGCGTTCTCGTTGCCGTCACTCATACCAGAAGCGACATCTGAGTGTGCACTTTGGAGAGAAAAAAAAGTTCGGTGTACTGTCTGAGTTTCACAGGCCTGAAACACGCCGGGGTGGATTTTAGTTGTACATACCTGTCTATGGAGGAAACCACAGTCACGGGCTGGGCAGGCTGCGGCTGCGCACCTGAAACTGGCTCCAGAGGAGCCGCCTGGGCAGCCCCCTGAGCACTCTGTGAAGAGAAAGAGTCATTCAAATCACAGCACCCAAAACCCCACGTAAGAGCCCTTTGCCTCTTTCTTCGTATCCTCCCCTACGTCCTAGAAGCAATAAGTTTACTAGTAATTTTTAAAATTCAACATCTAGAGACAGTGTCCTTGAAACCCCAGAGAAAGTCTCGAAAGCCAGTCTCCAGTACAGACTGCATGGTGTGAGGTCAGCCCACCCATGCTAGGCACTGTGAAACTACAACTTGCCATGCAGCCAGCATCTTACCACAAGTGTGCAAAGGGCAGGCAGAGCAAAGTGCAAAGGATGAACTCAGATCTCTCTCTAGCAGGGCAAAAACAACTGCTGGCAGCACAGCAGGATGAGACTCTCAGCACCGCCTAGTGCGGCGAGTGTGGAAGGCCAAGCCTCAGGGCTGAAGTACTAGCTAGAGAAGGCAAGTGCTAACAGGGTGAACCTTCTCCAAGGCAAACTCACTTCCCAACAGAACAGCCAGTGGCAACAAGGCCCCCACATTGGCATTTCATTCTGCTGTAAGACAAATTCATTCAGAAGTTAGTCTGGCATAGTCTCCAAGGAGTGTGACGCCAGGAAAGCTGTGTTTTTCCTTTTGTCTTGTTTACCCCATTGTGTGTGTGTGTGTGTGTGTGTGTGTGTGCTTTATATACAAACATCCAGCAATTCTATTTACCTCCAAAGCTGCTTGCTGGGAGGATGTAGTAGTAGGGGGTTGTTGAACTACACTCATGGCTGGCTGGGACACTTGAACCTGGCCGCCTACACCGCCCATAGGAACAAGATTTGGTTCCACAAAAGGCTGCACCACTGGAGGAAAGTAACCTGGTGTAGCCATTGCTTCTGTTGGCATGGAAGGGGCTAGGACTGTAGAATGGACGCAAACAGAAGCCACGGTGGAAGAGGGAGCAATATTTGAATCTCCTGGGTACTGTGGTGGCAGTCGAGGTGGGAAGCCCTGTGACAGAAATGAGGAAGGTGTTAGTGCAGGCCGGGGCACCACACCAGCAACTCATAAAAACACACGCGCGCACACACGCGCGCGCGCGCACACACGCACAGGCACACAGTAGACCACACCAGCAACTCAGCAACACACAGGCACACACACAGGCACACACAGGCACACACACACACACACACAGAGGCACACAGCAGAGCAGCAGCCCGCTCTCACTAACAACCTCAAGAACATTTGAAGGATCATTCCTGAATGAGATGATAGACTGCCTACCATCCAGAGGGCAACATTCCATAACTACATTTAAAGGTGCTGCATCGCCTTTTCTGGAGATTAAATAGGACCTAGAGACTTAAATCCTTCTAAAAAACTACCTACCTTCTACAGCTCTTTTGTGGAAAAAATGCAAAACACCTTCCAGGTATCAGTCATTCCCAGCCATATGATGGAAAGCTGATCCTTTATCACTGAATTAACGTGTGTATAGATGTATGTGTGTGTGTACGTGCGTGCGTGCAGCCTGCATCAACATCTAATATTCAAAGAATAACTCTTTAAGCTGCAACCTGAGGAAAATGGGTAAGGAGCCAACAAACACCCACCCATCCTTTCCCAGGATTTTTACCATTTTAGCTTCTCTAGTTGAGACCAGCAAGCCTCGCTACTGTTTTTCTGACTCTCAGCTACTAGATCTTCAAGTGCTGTATGGTCTGCTATTAAGAGTTAAGCCCTCCAGTGCCCTCCTGTTGTGCGTGCTAGCCAAATACCTGGAAGAGAACATCTCCAGAGGGAAGAGGAAGCTCAGCAGCCTGTCCAAGGTTAGCTGGTATTCCCATGGACTGCACTGCCGGTTGGAGGAGCTGTGGGTGAACCTGACTTGGCAGCTGAGTGACAGGCTGCAGAAGGGTTGGCAGCGGACTAGGAACCACAGTGGATCCCCCCGGGATAGAAGCTGCCGTAGCAGATGAAGCCAAGGTGAGCAGAGGCTGATTAATGCTGGCTGCCATTGTGATGGGAAGGGATGAGAAGCCCGTCTGTGCCGCAGACACATGAGGAGTTGGTAGGGGGATCTGGGAGACGGGGTACGGGGAGAGTAAGGAGGTGGGGGCTGGCTGTCCCACAGGGAGGAAATGAGCACCAGAGTGGACTGGAACAACTGAGGGCTGTGTTGCGACTGGGATCTGAGGTTCGCCTTGGATAGTTGGCACTGGCTGGGGAACTGGAAGCTGGGAAAGTAAAGAAAAACAAAACAGACTTTTTAAAGCAAGGGCGCCAAAGCGAGACTTATGTGTCATTAGCCAGAGAGAGGGGGAACGGCCCCAACCCTGCGCACGTTAGTGTGAGTTAATATGCCGAGGAAGCACAGACAAAGTTCAGCCTGGACCAGAGGAGGGTCTCTCCACAGACAAGGCTTTGCCCGTTCATCTCCACCCCCAATTCACCAAAATGTTTCATCATGAAATCTAGCATTACTTTTATGGCACTCAAACAGTCCTCCCTCCACTGTAATGAAGACCTCATATATATTTATCTTCTCAACAGTGTGTGCGTGCGTGTGTGCGTGTCCCTGAGCTCGTTTGCTCAAGGCTAGTGTTCTACCACTTCCAGTTTTCTGGTGGTTCACTGGAGATAGGAGTCTCATGGACTTTCCTGCCTGGGCTGGCTTTGAACTGTGATCCTTGGATCATAGCCCCCTGATCACAGCCTAAGTAACTAGGATTACAGGCATGAGCCACCAGTGCCTAGCAAGCGTCTTAAATTTTTTTTATTGGTCATGGGGCTTGAACTCTGGGCCTGGGCGCTGTCCCTCGGCTCTTCAGCTCAAGGCGAGCGCTCTACTACTTGAGCCACAGCGCCACTTCCAGTTTCCTGGTGGTTTATTGGAGATAAAGAGTCTCACTGCCTTTCCTGCCCCGGCTGGCTTTGAACCTCAATCCTCAGACCTCAGCCTCCTGAGTAGCTAGGATCACAGGTGTGAGCCACCAGCGCCCCGATTCTTCTTAATTCTTACGTCTAACATATCGCTATAAAGTAGGTGTAATTACCCTCAAAGGACCTGGTCATTTTAACATTTACGAAACGCTTTACAACTGTCTTGGCAGTATGTGCCCACTGGTACAAAACCTGACGGTCCAGTTTACGGTTGGTAGTAGATTGCTGCCGTCGCAGCTCAGCTCTCCTAAGAGCATCTTAGGGCACAGGTGCTACCCGTGTGCACACGTGCACATACATCAGCACAGACACTATTCTACGAGGGCCCGTCCTGGGCCTGGCAAGAGGCTCATGTTCACCTGCTGGTACCAGGAGGAGACCGCTTTCCTCATGACGTCCCTGCCTGACCAGGGACATAAAAAAAGGAGCTTTCCTCCATGACATCTCTGCCTGGCCAAGGAAGCCAGAAGGGCACGGTGGACGGATAAAACCTCTGGGGCCTCAAGCCGAAACAAACCCTTCCTCCTCTTTTTCTCGGGTCTGTGTGGCGAGGAAGCTCACAGAGCGACGGTCACCCCGCACTGAGGGAGGAGTAATGGGGACGTCTATGTGAAACCAGCACAGGCGCAGACTGAGGTTACCACAGAGGGCTGAACATTTCTAGAGGCGGCGACGAGACCGGGTCCTGAAGCATTTGTAGTTTATTCACTAGTTTTAGTGCTGCTATTTTGCATCAAACCGCCACACTACCAGTACGTATCTGTTAGCATTAAATACTGCATATGTGCAAATGGAGTGCTTTTTGCTTTCCTATCACAGTAGACTGAGCAACTTCAGCAGAGGAGGCGGAGTCTTACAGAGGATGTGCTTCAGCAATGTAGCGTGTACCTGTTTTCCAGCGGACGCTGGAGCTGGAGCTGGAGCTGGAGGCTGACCCGTGGGCTGGGCGGGAGCAGCATCGCTGGAGGGGACCACATGCGCAAGTGTATACTGCACAGCCTGCTGGGGGGCGGCTGTCTGCTGAACTCCCTGTTGCAAGAATGAAACACTGATGTGGATGCTTTGATACAAGAATTTGCTATGTTGCTTGGGCTCGTCTTGCACTCCTGGGTCTTAAAAAGTGACCCTTCTGCCCTCTGCTTCTCGAGTAGCTGGGATTACAGACATGTACCACCCAGGCTCAGCCAGTAATTCTGTTTCACTTCAAATCAGCATTAGTTTACTTAAGTAAAGCCTTCAATATCTGTAAATTATGATAATTTCAATAAGCCATGAAAAAACACAAATTCATCAATTCCCTCAAGTCAAACCCTCCACTCCCAAATCCCCTCACAGAATTTTCCTCAGACTAAGCCCTTGTTCAAACCTTGAGCCACCATTAGATTTACTGACCCAATGTTGCTCTCACCACAACAGCAGGTGTTTGCAAAGACTATCCAAATAACTCTTCCCAACCCCACCTGCCATAAAGCCTTCCCAATACCCCCCCGCCCCCCATGGCTCAGGGAACAGGGGACCTAATGGGATTGTGTTAAGTAGTTTAAATGGTGAGTTGTGGAGTCGCAGCTTGTGCAGATTCAAACTATGTGCACCTCTTGCAAACTGTAAGTTACTCAACCATCTCTAGGTCTCTGCTTTCACATCAGTAAAATGGAAACAACACTAGACCTGCGTTTACTGCATTCCCAGAATATGGTGTTCCTAAACCATCACCCTGCTGGAGTTGATCCTTAGGTTTTATTCAATGCTTGTTAATAATTAAAAGGAATATTTACTTCCTTTTCAAAAAACCTAGTGAACATCACCAGCAATGTTACTTACAAAAGACAGATATAGAAAGTAAAGCTGTGGCTCAAGTGGTAGAGCACTCAGCTCACCTGGAGCTGAAGAGATGAGGGACAGCACCCAAGCCCAGAGTTCAAGCCCCATGACCGACGTTTAAAAAAAAAAAAAAAGTAAATCTAACAAAAGACAGACATGTGTAAGAAGCAGCAAGGCACCTCTTACCTGCGGAGGCTGCTGGGTGGTTTGGGAAGATGGAGCCCCTGTCAAGCCACTTGAGGACGGCTGGCTCTGGCTCTGTCCCTGTGCCTAAAGGCAAAAAACAGACACACACTGGAGCAAAACGTAAGGGGAGAGCGTGCAGGTCAGGTTTCTTGCAACACACACTCAAGCTCCTGAGATGTTTGCTTAACCAAAGTGACACATTAACTCGACTGAGGATGTATGGGGGACATCCCTGGGGTAGCTTTGTGAGAAGAAGTTCACATCAAGAACATAGCACATATCTTATCTCAACCCATTTTGGAAATCAGCTGGTAGTTAAACGTAACCTACCACAGCTCAGGCTCTCATTTTAGCCTGTCAGATCCACAATTAAAACCATTACAACAGTGATAAAGTTATCAATGCAGAAAACAAAATTTAATCTGAATGTTTAAGGTGAAAGAGTATTTGAGGATGCCATCTTGGCTCTACACCTTGTTAGTACCACAGGGAATTTTTTTTAAAAATCAGAAGCAGCAAATCAGGTATAGTCAACTTCCTAATAACGCACAGCAATGGCTGTTGGCCAGGGGACAGGTGGCAGCATCTAGAGCCATTTCTGACCGCCACTACTGGAGAGGGCTGCCGCTGCTAACCACTGGTGGGCAGAGGCCAGGGGGCTGCTAAATGCTCTGCGGTGCACAGGAGACCCTGATCCAACCCAGAACATCCACAGGGCTCCAACTATCAAGACATGGGAATTGAAATAAATGAGCAGGGGTGACATGAACGCAGGACCAGATAGACATTTAGAAAGAGGACATGAAAAGCCATATCTTTGTTGCTCCATTTCAATTTGGAAAAGGTTCTTGAAAGCTTATGTGAATGTATCACCTTCCACGGCAGCTCAAGAGTCTGCACTTGACATTTTACTTTGGAAAGCTTCAAGAATGCCTGAGCAAGCACAGGAGGGGCTGACAATTTGACAGCTCATGGGGGTTTACAGAATGCCTAGGCAGTCAAGTTTCAGGATCTTTTCTCTTTTTTGCTTCCAAATACTAATCTGATAGTCTAGGTACATTTTTGGAGTTGCTTATGCCTTTGTTGGGGGAGAACAGGGGAAGAAAGCAGGAATAGTATATAGTACTTTATAAAAAATAAAATGTATGGAAAATTTAAATGATATCCAATTGTGTAGTCTCTTGTGTAGACTACATATACACTTGACACATGTCAAAAGAATGTACGAAATAGGCCTCATTTCTTTAATCCTGAGTCCCTTCCCTTTGGCTTTATCTACATCCTGAGTACATGCGTATACACACAACTAAAATCTGAGACAGCACAGCCTGAGGCATCTACTCTTCCCGACTTGAGTAGTTTAAATTCTTCAAGCAAAAAAGTAAAAAGACCCACCATCTAGATTCTAACTTAACACTAAAATCAGAATCAGCCCTTAATTGTCTAAATTATCTAGGCATTTAAAACATAGTAATTTGTTTTGATACCATTTCAAAACAGTATTCATTTGTTAATAAGTCCACCTGTCGCTTACATCCTCAATACTAATGAAAAAAAAAAAAATCTGTGCTTTTAACTAGCATTCCAAAGAGTTTTCACTTTTCCATTTTCATCTTATAGTTACTTTTTTGTGTATTTTTAAAAAATAAAAACATTGTTTAGAGTATTTTACCTTAGTATAACCTTATAAATAACCAATGCTAAATCTACGTTAAAGGCAACTACATTTTCACTACTAATTGAAAATTCCATTTACAGGGAGAGCAGTCACTGAGGATGACTGTTTAGCAAGCCAATCAGGTAGCTGCTGCCTTCATAGTTTGTTCTTAGGTACAAAGAAGTTATGACCTCCAAAAGATAGAGAAACTATCCTTCAGAAAACCCCAATTCCGGGAATGCAACGGTGCACAGTAGGGTAGTTTAAGAGAACTGCAGAAGTTTTCCTATAACCTGTGGGTGGGGTGCAGATCCTCCTGAGGGAAACGAGGCAGGAAAGACCTGCTGCGATGTGGTTCCTTGGGGGAAACAGAAGAGAAGCGGGGGCTCCTGAAACACTGTCTGAGGCAGACGGATAAAGGATAATGAGACGTCCGAGCCCAAAGGTGCAGCAGCCCCTCCTGTAGGGGGAGGTGACTGAAAATCACTGGGGTCTGAAGAAGTGATCTGTGAAGAGTCACTGGAGTATTCTGGGCTCCCTATCGGCCAGTTCTGTCCAGTAGGCTCTTCCATAGAAATGGTCAGCTCAGGGACAGGGTGGCCCCGCTGCTCGGTCCCGGGCTGCAGGTGGCTGTGTGACCCCACCGACTGAGAAGGTGTGTCTTCCTGTCCCGAGTCCACTGCAGCCTGGAAATTTTGGTAGACACGTTGAGGTAAAATCCCACCTCCTTCTCCCGAAGAGGAGCTTGGTGTTTGGGCGTGAAATTCGAATACACAGTGGCTTCTGCCCTCAGAGCTCTGAGTGAGCACAGCTGGTGCAGAATGAGGAATAAAGACAGGGTGGAATTTTAGACGTGTAGCGTCTGTGCTGTTAGGTGCAGAACTAGAGAGGGGCGATGGTGAGTTCAACGCAGACTCTAACCTCAAATTCTGAACGTGTCCTACCAGGAAAGCCCGCCCCGATGGAAAGTCAAAGACGGAATTTAGGGTGGGGCCCCCTTGCACTGGCTTCTGCTCGGGAATCTGTTTCACAGGAGCTGACAGCACTGGTGAGCTGTAGGAGAAGCCCTCGTACTGTTCTGCCACCTGGGCCTGATAATGGACCCCAGCTAGATACACTGTTTCCTGAGGAATGAAATAGTGAGCATCTTCTGGTAGCACCAGGCCTGGTCTGTAGTCACCGTATGCTGGAGCTGGCTCAAAGGCGGGGACGACCTGTAACTCACACAGCTCTCCAGGGACTCTGCCGGCTGCGGCACCCAACATGACCACAGCCTCTGGTGTCCAGTTAGGCGGGCTGCCACCAGGTGGAAGGAGGGTCTGGCCAGCTGTCCTCAGCAGCGGCTGGAAGTGGCGAGTTTGGGCTTCCAGGAAGGAGGTGCTCTTACGCCGCTGGGAAATGGCTACTTTCGGTGAAGAGGTGGGAGGTGGTGAAAAAGAAACTGGACGTTCATGAATAGCTGGGAAAAATATCTGTGACTCTGGGTATGTTGGGGTCCCCCCACACGGATGCGCCACGGACTGAGGCTGTATCAACATGAATAAGACAAGTAATTCATACATTCATATGTGAAATTACAACAGACATGCACAACTGGACAGTTCTGTGTAACCCTGTGAAACGGTTACACCAACTCTAATAAGGAAGTAACGAGGCTTCTGGAAATTATGTGCAAAATCAAAAACCCATTAAATACATCCAGGGCCAATCAATCAGTCTGTGGGACTCTTTGCATCAGATAAGAGCTGCTTTTCTGCAACTTTCCTGACTCAAAGGGAAAGAAGACTAAACTTCCTAAGTGCTTATTCCATTTTACCTAAAATTAATGTCTGCTCTTAAGACATCTGAAAGAAAAACAAATGTTAAAGGGTAATAATGTATTTTTTAAAGGGTAAAAATATTTTTCAGTATGCTAAGTTTCTTACATTCTTACTATCCTGTGCTGTTAAATGGGTTATTTTTCATTAACTAATAATATGTCTTCTAAACGGAAATCAGGGGGCTGGAAGTGGGGCTCACGCGGTAGAGCATTTGCCTCACCAACACTGGCCTGGAGTTCAAACCCCAATACTAGAAATCGGAGGAGCTCTTTTATGGCTTATAAAGACATATGATGACCCTAGTAGGTAGGTACACACCTGTAATCCCAGCCTTCTGCAGGCTAGGCAGGAGGATTCTGAGGGCCAGGCTAGCCTGGGCCACATAGCTACACTCTGCCTCCAAATTAACCAAAAACAACAGAAAGCTAATTTATCTTCCTCATATCTCAAAGACATTTCATTACTGTGGGAAAAATAAAACAGCTTTACTGGTACATAAAACAGGTTAAAGATGCCAATCACCAAAATTGACTTTTTCGATAAATGATTAGGACTAAAGGCCGTGAATTTACTGGCCTGGTATCAAGTCTCTAACTCAGGTGAAATGGATAATAAAAGGATCAGCCCATTTAATTTAGGAGTACATTTTGTTTCTAGAAGCAATTTCTGATGTAAGATTAAATGTAGAATTCTAGCTCGTCAAACACAATATACACTACAGCAATGCATGACTCCTTTTAAGGAGATGAGCTCCATTCGGATTAGAGAAGACGTCCATCACGTAAGCAAAGTGGTTCAAATATTCAAAATGGCTAAAAAAGATTTTCTATTTCAAATCAGAATGTTCATTTTACTGACTGTTTATTCAAAGTATGTCCTAAATCCATGTAACATTATATAATCATCTTAATTTTTTTTTTAAAAAACTGAAGGTTATAGGACTGCTAGTTGGGGTTATTAAGTTATTCTGTCTGGAAAAGCAGTAGCAAGGTCCCACAGAACTCAAGGCAATTAGAAGAAAATCACAGACATTAATGGAGCCAAAGAATGTCATATATACTAAATAAAATTAGCATCCAGGCCCCATCCTACTCAACTCAAGAAAAAAAATACATCCTATGAGGAAACATTTTGCAACTTGTAGTTTGAAAGATTATTTTACATGAATGGTTACATTCAAGTCAACTTTCACTCTTCAATTGTTCTTTACTAGGGTAAAAAAAACAGATTGAGGCAGGAAAGTCTGTGAGACTCTTAATCATAAAAAAAGCCTGAAGTGGCACCGTGGCTCAAGTGGTAGAGTGCTAGCCTTCAGTGAAAAAGAGCTCAGGGACAGCGCCTAGGCCCAGAGTTCAAGCCCCAAGACTGACCCCCCCAAAAAAGGGGGGGACACTCATTAAGCTTCAATAATATCCCTTAAAAATAAACTAAGGAGGAAACCAAAACATTTGGGTAATGTTTGATAGTTGTTTTGTTGGGTATGCCAATAATCAGTTGTAAATTTAAACAATATAAATGCCTTTTTTGCTATGACATGAAAATACAAAAACTTTGTCTGTGGAGGATAATATAATAAAAGCTAAAAATTTTTTTGATAAAAGCTAAATTTTACTGGGTATATGTCGATACATGCACACTATAAGCCTGTAAGTATTCCTTCTTATTACCTCCTTGATTTTTATTCCCCTTAAGAACCTGATTACAAAATATTTCCTATAGGAATAACGATTATTCTAAAGCACATATTCAAGTTAATAGTTTCATTTTGCTCTACGTTCAATTTCTCTATCAAGTCTTGGTGCCTGGATGTATTTGCGGGTAATAACCGAGTTACATACAGTAGTGACAAAGAGGGAGGGCAGGCTGGAGCGTCGGTGCTTGCGCTGAGAGGCAGAGTGCATGGGCAGGACACTCTCCAGGGCTCTAGAGAGCTTTTCGGCAAAACTTTCCTCAGGGGCAGTCCGAAGGAGGGGAGGAGAAGGAGGCGCAGCTAGCACTGGTGGTGGGGTGGAAGGAACGCTGGGAGGGATGCAGGACAGAGAAGGAACAGCACAGAGATGGGGAACACAAAGCGACATGCTATGGCCACGACGAGGCTAAACGGAAAACAAACACACATGAAAACAGAATACCACAATACACAGTGGTCACAGGGCAGTCAGTCAGCATGGAGAAATGCCCATCCCCCACCCCACGCCCTGACTGCAAAGCACCTGACAGATCTCAACTACCCTCCCTACTCCAGTGCTTCCGGTGGGTGCCCACAATTCCTGGATATTCTGAAACACCCAGCATTACAAGTGTGTGAATAGTAAGACTGAAAGTAGCAGATAGAGAAAATGATGAGTATCGGTTTACAGTTTCTGTAAACTTAGCAAGATTAAAGAGGAATGAATTCTATTAGGTTGAAGTATATTACAAGATTGGGGAGATTTTAAGAGATCGTTTTGCAAGAACTGTGGAAACTTGAGGAAAGGATTCTTATTTCTATTTTAGAATGCATCAGAGTAAAAAGTGGTTAGCTTACAGTATTTTAGTACTCTTGCCAATCTTTTGCTGCAAAAGTAGAAATCATTATCTACTAAGGAAAAATTACATCATTCCTGAAGAAATTGACAACAGGATATAGGAAATATTTTTTACTCTTGCTAAACACCTTCAGTGTTTTCCTAGGATAGCTGAAATTAAACTTAGATTTACTAGTCTTAAGCTCAAAAGAAAGTGTTTGCTGCTGCCCGTGAACAGCGGGTCTGAGAAAGGCTGCCTGAATTATGTGTGTTTCCTTTTCCCAAACTGGCTGCAAAGAAGGCCTTATGCCCAAGTACCACTATGTATCAGCATGATACTTTACGGTTTCCATTTTTTTTAGCCCTAGTTTCTTTCTCTAATTTTTAAAATGTCAGTTACAATTTTTATGTATCATTGTAAGCCTTGGTGAATTCTTTCTAGCATAAGAACAATTATAAACTTCCTTAACTCTTCAAAATACCTCCACAGAATACTGTCATTAAAAGATAGGAGAATACCTGCTAAAGGTAGCTATGTTAGTGGTTCAAGTATATAATGCCTTCGTAAGTGATCATCCCATTTCCTCTTATAAAAGAGATCAATATTTGTAACCCTGTAATGAGGGAAGTCAAGAGTAAGAAATCATAGTCTGAAAATCTAATTTCATGTTTCAGGGGAAAAGAAAAAATCTATTGGAACAAAGATAGAAACTGGTTAAGAAATGCTGACAAGTAATATTTGCCAAAACACAGGAACAGACCTTCTGTGTAGTCATTATAAAGCAATTTGGCCCTCTGAGTGCCCTTGAAGGTTAGACAGTTTATAAAAAAAAAAAAAAAAAAAAA